ATGTTGTAAAAATTAATTAGCAAATGGCTATAAAGCACTGAGGATGAAAAACGTGCTAAAAGCTAAGCATTATAATTAGTGTTATTTAATGCATCTTTAAAAATCAAATTATATTTTTTTTTCTTTTCCTTTAATAATGAAATTACACAATGGCTTTAAGAAATGACAAAGTAATTTGAAGTAAATGACTGCCCTGTAAAACTGAAACACACCCTAAAATGTGGTTATTATAGAATAACCACACACCCTGGTAGTTAGCACTGCTTGAGCTATGTATAACCTTAACTTACTAGTGCATTATTAAGTGCAGGAGGATCAGCAATTATAAAAGGGAGAGCGAGTGCTGATGCGTGTTAAATACACGTTACCTCTTTGGCATCAGCAGATTTGGTGCATCCACTCCTGGCAATGAAAAGCATGCTGGGCAAATTAGACTTGTGGCACAAAAGGATTAATTAGGGTACAGCTAATACAAGCAATGTTTAGACATGAATCAAGAAATTTAGGACACGGGGTTTATGGTGCACTGAATAATTGGCAACACCATAAAAGAAAGAAAAGACGTGAACTAATTTCACATTTACGAGAAGCAGAAAGTTCTACCCCAGCTTCTGCACGATGAAGAATTACACACTGCAGGTTTCTTTTGAAACACTTCTTATTACCACACAAAATGTTTGCCTGTGTTTCTGCTAGTCCTCCTTCATTGTACTTAAATATGAGTATTTTCAGCAAAAAGGAGCTATTTAAGGTTAAAAAACCAACAGGTACCTACTTCCTTAAATAGAGCAGTCTGGGTAAAACAAGAGAGGAGAAAAATAAGGCAGTCTGGAAATTAGGAAGCTACTGTGAATGCAGGAACACTAGCTTAGATGTAGCTGATGGCTGCAGAAATGCATGCACACCACACAGCATTGAGCTGCACAGGGGGATCCAAGCCAGCTTGCTCAGCACCAGAATCTGAAGAGCACTGATAGCACAGTTCTCCTGGCCTACTCCTTGCTTGGTTAATTTATCCTGCTTTTTCTGAAAGAATAAAAGGTAGAATAGGTGTCTTCTACCCTGCAGTGGCACGTGGACACAGCCTTCCATTTATTTATCTGAGTTCCTTATCTATAAGTGACTCTGAATCCCTTCTGTTCAGTGAAGCTGTTGGAAAAAGAATTGTCTTCTTCATCTAGTCTCTGAAACAACAAATACATTCCCTAAAATATTCACTGAAGTGCCAAGAGTAAGAGTTCAGAATTTTGTAACAGCAGCAGACTGAAGACAGCCAAAGGGACAGCCACCAGCATTTACTCAGTGGCAACTCCTCAGCTCAGCACAGAACCCATTACCAACCCACAAAATGCCTCCCATGTGACAATTGTGTCCCTTAGGTCAACAAAATATGACAGAGCATATATTCTATTTTAAAATATTTAATATTTTGCTTAAATGAATCTTGTGGAAAAAAATGTTTCAAAACATTTCATGTGCAAAATTTCATTAAGTTTATCCAAGATGCAAATAAAATGCATTCTAAAATTATTCGATATATTTTATGTATTTCTTCTATCTATCTCTTACAGAGGCTGGAGGTCAGATAAAAAAAGTACCCTAAACCAAAGAATTAAAAGAATAATATAAAAACGGAGAGAAAAGTAACCGATTTTAAGTAACCATTCTTTAACCAAATGCTTCCTCAATTCAATAGCATTGATCATGTTCCCTATTTAGCAATCAAGTTCCTTATTCTTCCAGGGAAAATGGAAGTCTTGCTTGCTGTCACACAGCCTGCAATACTGTTCCAGTTTTGTACAGCTCAGCAGATGCAGCAGGGTACATATCCTGCATGCCCATCCAGCCCATCAGGGCCAGCCCTCCGAGGGCTCTGACAGATGCAGTTCATCTGAGCTACCCTTCCACGCAGGGGTCTCCAAATCACTGGATTTACATGTAAAGTTTCTCATCCTTAGCTGTGATTTATTTTCAGGGAAATTAAACCTTGTATTCAAACACTGGTTTTCATTAAATCACTTAAAATTATATTTAAATAATTCTCAATCTCCTCTTTAATTAAACATACTAAGGACCAATTTCCATCTTTTATTCAGGAAGCCTAACTTTGTCAAGTTCCTAAGACCCATAACACAGTAGGACTGCAAGTCCTCTGTTATTTTGATTCCTTTTCCAAGTTTTGATTACAAACCCTGCTTTCTGGAGAAATGAAAAATCAGCTCCTACAAGGCCTCACACTTTAATCACTTCAAGTTAACATGACACCCTAATGAGCAATCTCCCTTTCCTTTCCATCTCATGATTTGCTCCACTCCACCTGCCAATTCAAGGCTCTTATAGGATCACCCATTGACCTTACACTCACATTACCTCCACCTCCTTTTCTCATTTTGAAAATAAAATTAATTTAGTCAGAAACAGAATCAAAATTTGCTGAAAACACTAAGTAGATATAATGTATTTATTGCCCTTGGTGAATCTCACCCAGTTCAACCCGTGTCTCCAAAGTTTCCATTTAATTAAGAGTAATATGCTTTTAAAGGCTCATTCAGTTAGTTCTGGTTTTGTTGCACTTGAATTGCAATAATCAATAAAATTCACAAAAAGAGTCACTAAGAGCAGCCAGAACTGTGTTTCAGTAAAAAAAAAATAGTTCAAAAACATTGCCTTGGAATGAACAAAGCTATTAATGAAACTGATTCCATTTAGCAAACAATTTTTTTTGTCAGGTTCAGTTCTAGAGATCAATTTCTTAGTTAAAAAAAATTGACCTGAAGTTGAAAAGATGAAAGTTTAGAAAAGAAAAATTAAATAAAATAAACCCCAACTATTTCATGATGAGTTGACATCTCACATGTAATTTCCATGCCTCTTCTGTTCTTTCACACAGATGTGGTGTGAAAACTGGGTTTACTGGTCAAGGGTGAATCTAACACAGCACGTTCCCACTTTCACAGAAATCCTTTGGTTTCTCCCTTGTTCGGTTTCCGCTAATCTGATGAAATCAGAATTGTAGCTCCATTTCCTGCCCTGTTTCTTCCTCGTTTTAGCTCCCTGCTGTTTGTTTCTAGGATATTCTCATCCCTGCTGAGTGTATATTTTACTCTCTTTAAGAAGAGCCCCGATCATGTTTCTTTTTCTCACACTATCTGTTACTGACGCTTGCTATGGGAATGGCCCAGCCCGCAGTGAGACCCCAGTGCTTGGAGCATCTGGGCAGTTATTGGGAACTAATACAGTCACTTCAGCAGCTCGTGTTAACAGTGGTCAACAATTGATTGTTTTCACTCCTTCACACTTTCTTGGATCTTAAAAGAAGAATGGGATTGAAAAGAAGCTTTTTGTGCCCAAAAGATGGACTAAATTTAACAGTGGTGTAAACAAAGAGGAATCTCCTGAACTAAAAAAAAAAAAATAAAAATTATTCTCTTAAATATGTTTACTGTCCAGGTTAAATGGATTGTGTCAAAAGGGGTTAGTTCTGTTCTCTCTGATGGGGAGCCTCATATGAACATCTGACTATGAAAATAAGATTTATTTATTTTTGCAATGATGTAAAACTGACAGAGTGGTGTCTCATCCCACTGCCAGGCCAGGGATGGACCCACTGTCTTCTCCTGCCCCCTGTCAGCTAAGTTGTCACAACTTAGAGATGTCTGTGCCTGGAACTGCTGCCCCAGGGCTTGCACAGCTGCCACCACACACTTCTCCAATATAGGTGAAGCCTGCAACCAGCCTAACCATGGCTGGCAGTGGAGACTTGAAAAGAGAAGCCTGCTAAGCTTCTGACTAAATGAACTTATTACTGACTAAATGAATTTATTATTTATGTAAGAATGGACAGACTAACTTTCCAAATCTTGGACGGCAAACAAAACCAGAAGAGATTGGTGGGACAAGAATGAAAAATACAAGAGGTTTCTCTGTAAATGTGTGAACAACACTCCATACTGCCAAACGACTGGCCACGAGGCACAGTGCCATGCTTCCCAGTGTAGTTATTACCAGTTCCTACCTCAGTCTCATGAACTAATTCTCTGATCTCCACCCAAAAAAGAACTTTTTTCCCTTGTGGTCCAACACACAAGAAAGGTTGTCTCTAATTCAGATGTTCTGCAAGAATGCTGCCACAGGGTCACAGGTGACCATCCAACCAAGATGAAAGATGCTTTAGTTAAATATGTATTGTTCCTGCCATTCTGAAGCAACATCCCTTGAGGGGATAGAGGTTTTTCCTCTCATCCCCTTCTGCCACCTGGTTTTGCAGCTCACATCTCTATCGCTAAGCTTTATGGCCCAGCTGGGGCAATACTTAACTTCATGGTCACCAGCCCCTCTGCATCTCCAACTCAACAGCGTGGTCCCCAGCAATGCCAATCCAACACTTGTGAAGCCAGCAAGGTTACTACGTGTGTGTAAGGTCCTCCTTTGCTAGGGAACGCCTGATATGCTACTTGTTCTGGAAAACTCCCTCAGGCAGCTACATGCCTGTGAAAAAGTCGAGTTGCCTCTGGGGCAATCTGCTTCTAGGGCCTGGATCTGTCTGCAAGTGTGCTTTGGAGGGGGAAGAAAGGCTTGTCACTGATCCCAGTGCAGCTGGCAGGGCTGCAGCTGAGCTGCGAACGAGCTACAAATTAGTCCAACATTTAAATGCTCACTTCTAAAGATAAAAGCCAACTAAGCCTCACACAGTAGCTTTTCCTAAGGAATGGGAAGTGTCTCTAAGAATAACCATAGCTGCTGTGGAGCAGTCGGGGTTCATGAGAGCTGCCTGACATCACGCCAGGAAGCTTCACGCTGCAATGCGATACTTTCAGAAAAGACTTCACTGCCTTACTGGTTACCATTACCAAACATCACGGCATCATCCTCACAGACAGAGCCCTGCACAACTCACATGTGTGGAGCCAGGTCTGTCTGCTTCCTTAAGATATTAAGATGTCACCTAAAGCTCCAGCTACACGAGCAATTTATGCTTTAACCTTGGTTGAGCAACTTACCTTTGAAAAGTGGTGCTGTGGCTCTCCCTATCCCAACACCAGTGCGCAGCACTCAGGGCACTTGGGCTTAGCAGAACAGGACAAAATGACCAGAAACATCCTATCAGGAAGAAACAAAATGAGAATGAAATCCATATAATCCCATCCTCAAGTGGCTGTGATTGTTAACTGCCTTTTTAAAATAAACTGCAAAACTAAGCTTAAATAGAACGTATTGTTGTACTGAGTGACAGAAGGCTGAAGTTCATCACTGGAATAAACACAGAATGTAGACAACCCTCCTGTACAGATGTATGTCTTCTTCCTCATACATTTTCCCCGTGTATTAATGTATGTGATTAACGTTTTTGTGCTTTCAGCAAAAAAACCCAAATGAAACAAATTAAAAACACATAGAAATGCAAAATTGGGAGTAATGTTCAAAGTATATGGTTTATATGCCTGAAAAGATTTGTTTTGATTTTCTCTTACTGAGACAAAAATTAAAACTTCTAAGAACATTTTATGAATTCTTACCACACTGAATAATGTGTTCCAACTGAAGATATACCTCTGAAATAGTCTATTCAGTATAAACAAAATTATGTCATATTGACGGAGGGAAGAGCAAAGCTTGGCTGTTTAATTTGGAAGATTGCTAAAAGTGATACATTTAACTCTTCTTGTCGAACAATGAAATGTTTTTATAATTCACAATACCTAACACCCTTGTTCACATAAAACAAGTCGTCCTGAGTTCCTGTTGAACTAATACACATCCTATTCTTTTTTCTGTGTATATTAAAACATTAGGAAAGAAAAATAAATATGTATAAAAATAAAATCCCAATTTCACCCAACTGCATCAAATGCATTTAACATATTAAAACATTTAGAGAAGCAGATTAGAAATCTACACAGAACACGTAAGTAGAATACAAATGCTTCAGGTATGTTCTAGATGTATCATGGACATCTCCAGACAATACAGTTTTCTGTCCACTGTTATTTTCCTCTATTCGTGGCGCACAGGTTGCTCTTCTACAGTTTGCATTTTGCACCTTACTTTCCTTTTCCCTGTTTCTCCCTTCCCTAGTTGTCTTTTTCTCCTTTTCTATTGTTTTTGGGTTTGGTGGTGTTTTTTCCCCTTTATTTTCTCTCTCTAACACCATTTCTCTGCTCCCTCTGTATGGCTGACTCTTGTACCCAAGGTCCTTTATTTTTCTCTCCCCATGGTTTACTTACACTGCAATCTCTTGAAGGATGACAAGTATGTACAAAGCCCAGTTATTGACTGGGGCTTCCATGCACAACACACCCTCTCGCCCACATATTATAGTTCATTACATTACAAAACGTGTTGATCTTTTGAAATGGGAACACTGTTGATAAGAAAAAACATTCTTATAGATAGTCCTCTCCAAAACATCAGATAAGCTGTGAGAGCTCTCCATGTTAGCACCTCATGGGCCGATCAGATGTGCACCATGTGGAAATGGGGATACAGAAGCAAAAGAATTATGATGGAAAGCCAAGCCAAATACTTATTATTATGCATATCTGCAAGAGCAGTTACCACCTTCTTCAGGAAGATCTAAAATGAAAAAAAAAAAAAAAGACCAGCACGCATTCTGAAAACACTGAAAGCATATAGTGAAAGTTTATAATTTAAAAATATTAACTGTCTAGCCTAACAATCTTCATAAAAATCAAAATGGATTAAATTTGCACAATGTCGTCCCTTAAACCAATTCAAACCAACCCAATCCAGAATACTAGAAACAAGCTGTTAAAAATGTAGTTAGTTACTAGTTAACGTTCTCATTCTTTAACAAGCATGAATGAGTGCCACTAAACATGTCCCTGGCCAGTAACACGTATGAGAACACCAGAAGTTTAAGTTTAGTAGACTTCCTCACCATTGTACTCCGTGTCTTTCTAGCCATGCCCAGAAGGATCTGTTTGAAGGAGGAAGAGTAGTTTAGTTCTTAAAGCTTATTCAATCATTTCCCTTTCCACTGCCATTGTAAATGTCAGCTTTTTCCTGAGCCTGCAAACATCAACAGGAAGCCCATAGTACTCACGCAGTCCAAAGAGCTGCAGATAATACTGTATCTTCACTAGATGCATGATAGGACCACAGTCTGAGTTTAAACACACTAAGCAACTAACTTTAGGATGATGAAAAACTGGGGTGTTTACCAGTAAAACTTTTATTAAGTAGAGCTAATGAACATTTTGGTTAAAAACAGACTGATCCTTTTTTCAAAAGGCTATAGCAGTAAGAACCTTCGCAGCTGTTTTACAGTTTGGCTGTTTCTTTCTTGAGGGAAGTATGTTGACTTCATGTTGGACAAGCATGTTGACCAAGGGCTTGGCATGGCTTTTCTGATACAAACACCTTCTGGGATATTAACAACTTGAAGATAACTAGTACTGTGAGAAACTAAGTGTATAGGTAGAAGATTTAGCTGAAGAAAGACCACAAAAGTAAAGAACTGCCATTTGAAAAGGTGCCAGAAGCAAATCACCACTTATAGTACAAAGAACTAAAGTGAGTACTTGAGCACCACTGAGAATCTGCACAAGTTTGTGTCACACTCTCATTCAATAAGGCAATCAAGATGATTAGGGAGTGTAGGAAAGGCTCATTAATGGCCATAGCAGACATTGAGTCAGCCTCTCATTTATAACCAGCGTGCCTGGACAGGCTTCATTTTTTTTGTTTTTAATTTAAAGAAGTGAAATTTTAGTGGACAGACAATACACCTCTGTACTGTACTACTTGTTCTTGCTTAAAAGCTGCCACAAGCTTTATTGAAGTCAGTGGTACTGGTAAAAATTATCAAAAAGAAAAAAAAGTGCTTCACAGTTCACATGCTTCCTTTAGTTAGCTCTTTAGGTCCTTAATAACAGGGATTTTATTCTTAAAATGCTGAAGAGAACACCAAAGCTTTAACTGATGACAATACTCAGGAGTATGTCTTTAGCTTCAAAGACAGAAATTTTGCATACTAATCACTGGGATTTTGGAAGAAGCAGAAAGCAAAGATAAGAACTATGATGGAAATGCACCTGATTGGTAATAACTGTGGTTGAGGTTGTGAAACAGCAGCTTTTCAATGAGAACAAGGAGTGTGATTTGGTATTCTATCCATCTTAACCAAACAGCAACAGTTATCTCAGTCAACAGTAAGTGTGTAACCCCTTTTAACTATACCCTGCAACACATATGTAAACCGAAAATGGGGTGTTTCTCATTTCATTACACATAGAAGTTTCACTGTGCACACACACCTAAGGATACCTAAGCATTTCTTTCTGTTTCTGTAATTGAACACAGGCACTACAGTCTTAAACAAGAGCAACAGAAGCATTGCACGATACTAGGGTCATGCGACAGAAAAGCATAGATCAGATTTACTCTATAAATGACATTTGTATGACCACAGAATTTCCACAAAATAGAAATGAAAATATTTGGTTGAAATCCTGGACCCACACAAGGTTCACTTGGCCAAGACTAAGTCTTCACTCAGGAAATAGAAAAGATTTCACTACAAAGATTGATCAACGCCTCCCTCCCACCCACAAATCCTCAGCCACACAACACTAAGAAGTCCTGTATTTAAATACAGTAGTTATAAAAAAATGAAAGTTAAGTGAACAAAAAAGGGCAAAAATAATAAACATGATATGCCTCCTTGACAATAAAAGTGTGATGTTCAGGTCCTTAGTACTGCAATCAATTGTTCCTGACGTTTGAACTGGGGTTTTCCTGAAAAGATTCCTTTGTCTGGTGCCAACTAGCCTTTCCTGAGCTGTGCAAGAGGTCAGACGAAGTGCCTTGGTAGTATCTCCTAGTTTCAAAGCACCAGACTTTTATTTGTCCTTGTTTCCCAGTTCCAGAAGACACAGGAGAAACTTGATTGGTATACTTCTCTGGTACAGAATCAGTCACCCTTCCAGAGCATCATGAAGGCATAAGACAATGAAAATGCACATAATAAAAATAAATAAAATACACATGTCCTTGATAAGGCAAGAATTTAATGTCATTGATGTAACACTGTATATCAGAAGGACTACTTCACAGCTAAACAATTTCAGTTTTTCAGGTTTTAGAATTTGGACCTATGTTAGAACTAGTCAGAGACAGCTCTCTGGGAAGTTTCTCCTGCTGAGGAAGCATGTACAACACTCAGCTGTCTGCATGCCATAGAGGAAGAGTGTAGGAGCAGTAGAGCCAGCCCCAGTGCCACAGCTTGGACAGCAGCCATCAGGAAAATTCTGAGGTTAATGATGGCCGTGACACACTGATGCCATCAAACAGGAAGAGCATGGCTGGAGGTGTGCAGGTCTCCCCATTCTTGTGCCTCTGTGCACAACAAAGCTCCTCTTAAGCTCTCCAGACAGAGCATCATTTACAGCCCTCAGCTTGAAGGTTGCCCATTATGGGTCAGTGTACAAGCTGCTGTTGCAGGAGGAGACTAAGGCTGGAGGGACCCACCGCTGAGCAGGGTGGGTTCAGGATCCCCCTGTGGACAGAGGCTGAGCAGGAGCCCATTTTGTTACTGCTCAGACCTGTCACAGGCCCATCAGACTCTGTAATTTGTCTGTGGGAGGAAAGAGGACCATAAAGATCTGTACAGCACAGGTGGCACAGCAGTATATTACAGGAGGTCTCCCTCCCCCTGGTAGCTCAGTATCTCCTCATGGTGGAATGGGAGTGTTTTATTTTTGTTTTTCTTTCCATTAGAGGATGACCTTTGCTACAGCTAGGTTGATCTGCTGCAGAGCCAACATCCGCCAGCTTCCAGAGCTTATGCTTCTCCAACAGCAGCAGATATTTTCTGCTGCTCCAGTGTCCTTATTTAATCATGCTTCCATAAATCAAAAGTGACCAAAACTGATTTAACAAACATTTGGGTGAGAACTCAGAACAGCTGAAGAGAGACCAAGACTGAGTCATTGCCTGATGCAATTTCAAACAGTTCAACTGTAAACACAGTTGAGCTCATTGTTGTGTTAACACCAACCTCTCCCCCCCGCCAAAAAAAAACCAAAACAACCAAAAGATTTTTAATTGCAAGTACATTGCTGAGAAAACGTCACTAAATGCCAAATGAAAGATGTATAGAGAAGGATGTTTCCTTTGGAAACTGACCAAATGAACATCTGGTCGCTGAGTCTTCTGGAAAAATCCATCAGAGGATAATGACAGCACCATTAGATGCACCACCATAATTAATACTACGTTTCAATGGGTTTAAACATGAAAAGTGCTGAATGCTGCTGTGAGATGCGTTCTCAGATCACACCTAGTTCAGCGAAGAGTGAACCACTGATTATTGGGAAGATATATCAGGGAAAGGATGACACACTGCTCCTACACTGATAAGCATTCACTGGCAGCTAGAGTAAGATAGCAGGGCACAACAGAAGGACATCTGCTCTGACCCTGTAGGGTATTCATTACCTTTCAAAATGTTCTAAAATTATCAACAAGGACTTTTAAAGCTAAACTCTGAGGATGAACATGGGAAATAATACAGAATTTCAGGTTAGTCCTGCTGCAGAAAGAGTAGAAAGCACTTTGTTGTACTTGGAGGGATTGTTTTGTTTTGCTTAATAAGGCTCATAGGATGTCCATAATTAAAGAGGAATTTAAAGCATATATACATGATGGGTTTTCATGGTGGATTTCAACAAGAAAACAGGATTTTTAACACTTAGTATGATCTCTATGTTGTGGGAAGTGTGACTGTTATACAATATATGGCTTTTGTATTAGATCCATGGAGTTTATTTCACAGCTAAGTTATGGCCCCAGTACAAAATCACTGAAATCCCACTGAAAAAATTCACCCACAAAAAAAACCCTCACCTGCAGTGAAAATCCCACCTGGATAAATTACTTTGATACCACTGCAATGTAGGTACAGACTAACACAATCATAGAAATATTACTAAGAGGGAACTCTAAGGTTTCTTCTCTCCCCCAGAACTGTCATGAACAATAAATGAGCCATGACTTTGTCTAACCAGCTCTTGAAAAGTTCCAAGGGTCTCTGGCCAACCTCTTTCAGTATTGCCATACCCTCCTGGGGGAAACATTTGTCCTAACATGCACTTCAAATCTTCCCAAGGCACCTCTTGTGGTTGTTGTCCCTTGCTAGACTGTCTGTCACTGAGCAGTGTAGCTCAGCTCCTTCCTAACTACCCTTCTTGCTCTCCTCCACATAGAAGAGGTAGAAAGGTGAGAAATGACACAGCAAAATCCTTCAACACACAGCATCACTAAACAACACTTCATCCAGGATACAGTTTAAAAACTTTTAAGACTTTTCTACTCCCCTGTGTGTTCTAAACTTAATTTTTCCTATGCCCAAAGCTACCCTAAAACATATCTGAAAAGTATTCCCATAAATTGCGCAAATAAGTCATTTGGGTAATATTAATAAAAAATGAAAGCAACTCTTCTCCCCAACCCAACAAAAGCAATATAAACACATTTAAACAGGGGTTTTGTCATATATTTTTAACAGGAATTCTATCTGAGGATCCATTTTACAATTGCTAAAAGCAGGATTTTAGATCACTAGTATCAAATAAAAAGCACTGTGGTCACAAGATGCAAAGAGACATTATGGAAAAACTCACTCTGACATCTTATTTTTATAGCTAATTAAAAAAAAAAGTGTCAGCAGCCTTTATGCCAGATTAAACAGTGTTTGTCCTACCACAGCCAGTACAAACTGCATACTGTAAGCTAACCCAAGTATCCTTTATCCAGATCAAATTTACACCCTGAGTGCTTTGATAGCACATAGATCGGATATTAACAATGATGAAACCACAGCCCACATTGTCAGACAACTGCATAATGCAGCCAGGTGATCTTATAGATACTTGATTGTACCTGCATAAAACCTCCAACATCTGTGGAATGTGCCTTACAAATGTGCTGAATCCTGAAACTCAGGAAGACATGTCTCTCTTTTACCATTCACTTTCGGAACAGATTTTTGATGGTATTAAAGTTGTGGATAGCTTCTCATAGTGCCAAATATGGCTTAGTTAATCAAATGAAATGTTCTTAAATATTTAGGATAGCTTATAGACTGCTATCTTCCCACATTTAAAAATTAAAATGGCTTATTTCATTATGCAGAAATCAACTGAACATGCAGTTGTGTCATACAGCAAGTAACTCAAAAGAATTATAGCTAAGTGGTTTGGACAGTCTATATTTAGCGATTCTTACTTCCAAATACTTAGACTCTAGATCTGTCCTTAAAGTATTCTTAAAAGGATTGGCAAGTATGTCTATGTGTAAAATATGATAATCCCATGTTAATTCTCCTCCTTACCGCTCTGTAGATGCCTGGAAACAAACCATTGTAAGCATTAAGCTTGCTCGAGTTTGCACTGCATTTGTATTCATTAACCAGACTATTAGTGAGAGCATTTCAGAATTCCACGACTTTTCTGGTAGCTGTGTATGTACATTCACCTGCTGTATTACTTATTTGTGTGAGTGTACATCTACCCACACATTTGTCTCCACTCCTGCATGCATACAGATCAATATGTGTCCCTGTGTATTTATGTCTTTCACCATTCTCAAGACATTCAGTCTACTTCTCTGGCACCAGCTCTGGGAAACTACTGCTTTAGCTAATGCCCTTCTGACTGAAAACAGAGCTCCATGCATCATTGACAGGAACCAAGGCAAAAAAGTAGAACAAACAGATGAAGGTGTAAAAAAGGGAAGTATTTATGCTAAATTCAAGAAAAATAAAGGGATTAAGGGGATGTCACAGACTAGATGATTTAAGAAGGGGATTTCTTCTGAAGAGGGGATATTTCTCTTGTAGAATAGAAATCTATCCTGTATTCTAACCAGTGTTAATTCTAACATCTAGAACAAATCTAAATCTTAAAACCGAGATTAAGAGTTGGCTAGTGGTGTCTATTGTATCTGTCAATGGTTTTACAAACCAGGGAGAAAATATTTTATGTTTGATTCAGCCAGTACAATAATAACATTTATAGGTTGCCTCAGGAGCAATAATAATTTTACATGTTTTTCAGTACTCGAGTATTTACAGTGATTTGAATTATTGTAACACATTCAGATTGTTTTTTCTATCCTCTTTCAGAGATCCTGGATTAAGGAGCCAATCTCCCTTCTCCTCTCTGTCACTTTACATTTGTAGATGTAGAATAACCCAAATACTAGCAGCTGTGCATTTGTAGGGCTATCATAAGCAGTGAAGCAATTCTTTCTCTAAATCTTCTAAGCTAACTGTGTTGCCTCCTTCATATTTTCATTCAGCTGAGGACATTCTGGTCTTTTTATGGAGGCATGAGTACAAGGCCAGGTCGGATGGGGCTCTGAGCAACCTGGTCTAGTGGAAGGTGATCTTTAGGGCCCATTTCAAACCAAGCCATTTTATGATTCTATGACATTCATGCTCTAGACCTCACATCTGATCATTATGTTGGTCTAACACAAGCCTACTGTCCTAGTGCTTGTATCTCCAAGGGGTCTGAGCATTTACAAATATCTTTACCTTTTTTTCAAACTAAACCAGAGCACAAAGGTTTGACAAAGAAAGCCCAGTGGCCATGGTGATATCATGAAAGCATACCTGCCTTATGTTTAAGTCAGTGATTGAGCTCCTCTCTGAGCATGCAAATATTTCCAGGAGAAAATGGCTAATGTATCCAAGGAACTTCTACTCTGCTACTACTCTATCCCTCAGGCACAAATAGTATGGGGCTTACACGCAGACTCAAAAGTTATACCAATATCCATGCTAAAGAACCATACTGTTACACGATAGCTTTTAATCTGCTCCCATGCTTAACATATTCATATAAATCCCTAGTGCTACTAGGATAAACATTTCAGAAAACAGAAGTTATTTATTACTAAGTAAATAATTCTTTTCTTCCTCACTTGTCAGGTGTAAGTGAAAGACAGAAGCTGAACCACACATGCTGAATAAAATGGTTTGGGTTGCATTGTCAAACTCACCACAAACTCCTTGTATGACTTGGAAGAGGTCAGTCAATTCTGAGGCGTTCCCTGTGTACAGAAATCCCCAGATGGCATTTTAATGTGAGGAATGCTGGCTTTGCTATAAAATTCTGCTCTGAAATTACAGAGAAAGGGTGAGGTTTGCTTAGGCTGTAGTTGCATTTGCTATAGGGTATTGCACGTCTAATATCTGGAAGGTAAGAAAAGCAGAGGGAAACTATAAAACTGCAGCAAACTGAGTGTAATGACAACAACTCTGGTGATGTTAGAGAGAAAGCACCAGCATTACTGTCTATGCAGCACAAATGCAATGGGGGAATCTAGAGTATTTACAGTTGTTCATCAAACAGAAAAGCCTCGTTGCACTTCACTTGGCAGAAAAACAATTCCACTCGCATTTCTCATGATTCTTTTATCATTGACTTGGATTTAGCAGAGTATACTAACATTTCATCTCTGATGAAGGCACGAGACTGGGAACATTGGCATATTTTGTGAGTATAATTCATTTTTTTGTTCTGGTTGGAATGCAGCGCAGTGCAACGTTACTGCTGGGTGAACACCTGTAGTTAGAAAACACTGGTTTGCTCAGAGGGCCCAAAGCATGCCAAACTGTTCCCTGGAAGGGGATTTGAAAAATGAGCATTTTAAAAAAAATAAATTAAACCTCCTGTGAACAAAAAGAAATAGAAAAGCAGGCATGAAACTCTTCTTTCAGCGACAGATGTCAAAATGACAAAATCAAGAATTTGAATCTCTTGGGGATGAATTTCAGCTTTGTCTGTAGGACAAACTAAGGCCTATCTCAAACACTGTAAGATCCAGTTCCTCAAAGCACCAAAATACATGCTTGTCCCAGTTTCTCAAAGTACTAAGATGTGTAAAAGTCAACAACAGCATTGCAAGGAATGACACTGAAACTCTTTACTTTGAGATGGATTAATTTCACTTTTATGGAAAATTACATTAAGAAATGAAAGGATTTTATTTCAAACTGTCAAAACCTTCAATTTCATTTGCAAAATATCAAAATATGATTTGGCTGCAAATATTTTATCCAGTTTTGATTTACAGAAATGGTGAATATCCTTTTAAAACATGTTCTGAAAATTTGACTTAAAATTGCAGACAGCCTCCACTATCACGAAACTCTGCCAGCAAATTAATTTCAACTTTCCTATATAAAACCATGCTCACAACCACTTTACTTGTCACAAAATAAATAGATAAAATAACTAAATTCTAAAACTTCATTTTTGTCTTCTCCTGTTTTGTCTTCTACTGTTGAAGCCCAGCAGACATACTAGTTGAACTGAAACTCAATCAAATTAATTTTGTTTGCACAATCTGCTTTTCCTTGTCTTGTACATGTTTTTGAGAATTTCCAAGTTTCTTTTCATTTGTCCTACCCCCTGAATAATATTATTTGCCATTAATTTACACCAAATTTTCCTTTCTTCTTTTACGTATCATGCAGTTTGACAGTCTGATACTGATGTTCTAGATGATTCCCCATCTTTCTCTCCTACTGCTGCTCTACCATGCAGTTTGCCCTCCAGGCATTTTACTGTTCTGTCCCATTTATGCTTCTCTCCTGCATTATGCTTGACACTTTACCCTTTCTGTGGTTCTCCTTCCACATCTTTTTCCATGCTGTGATTAAACAACACCAGATACAGCAAAAAGGGTAAGAAAATATAGCTTCATTTGTTCACTTCAGCTTCATCCACAAGACAAACAAAATTATATATCTAAAGATAATTAAGCAGTTAATTTAAGTATCATAGTCTAACTGTGACAAAGCTAGATCCGTACAAATATTTTGCAGTCTCAGAAAAGCATAACATGTATAGTTATTATTGCTCTAGGAACATTCATTTGACAAAGTCCCTGAAAAGCCTCTCCTGCACACTGGGGATGTCTGAAGTGGCTGATGTTTCCCAGAAAAAGCTACTTAGAGAACCATAGTTTTTGAAGCAGATTCCCATCTGTCAGTCACTGTCCTAATGTGCTCCTTTACATTTAACTACATTTTCAGATAAGCAATACGTTCATTTAAAAGATGAGTAAAGCAGTAATGGCTCAACAGGATCAATGGTGATGGGATATATTCCTGAGACAGGGCCAACTTTCACAATTAGGCCCTCTATGTACCCATACATTAGTTTGACATATGCTTTCAGCACGTAAGTTTCTAGTTGCAGGTTTACAGCAAATAGAAAACACTACTAAAAATCAAAGTGTTCACCAAATATTTCATGTCCCAAAACAATGCTGCTAATTAATGCTGAAACACAAAGTGTCTAGAAGAAGACTCAATGGAACTCATATGTCTGTTACCATTAAATCTTAATAAAGTATTCTTCTATGAAGGCTCTCAAGCACAACCCACAATATTTTTATGAGTCTATATGAAATCATAGTATTGGTCTAAAAATAACTGTATAAGAAATATGTTGGCTTTAATGCTCATCTATTGCACTAAGGTTCTTGGTATAAGGATCACCTCAATAATGCTTCAGAATACAATACAAATAGTCATTTCAGGAAAAAATTATAAAGAATAAACCAATACATAATGCCGTACAGGACTAGCCTAATATACATTGTGATTATCTAAATGCAGTGATAAAAGAGCAGATTTTTCCCCTCCTCATTTTTTACAATAATCTCATGTAGTTCAAATTATCTACGTCTATCAACTCCACACACTGGCCAAGGCTGAAACAGTGTTGACCAGATCCAGAGAAGTCAATTAGTTATGCTGATTTGCTCCAGCTGAGAATCGATTCTCAGTTGTCTTTATGCTTCCTACAGAATATTCTGTAGGAAGCATTGCTTTAATGAAGCTTGGTCAGCATGTATGGGAAATGTCAACATGAAATTCCTTCTCACCAGCTTTTGGACTTCTTAAAACAGACAGTTTAAAAATATCCAATCCAACACCTAGAAAACCATAGGCTTTCATTGAAATGGCAGACAAATTTAAAATCACTCTAAAGGAAAGGGCTTCAACATCATCGATCTAGTAAAACTATTATCCTTCTTTTCTTTTGGCAGGTTTTTCTAAATTTACAATTAAATCGTTAAAACTACTCTCACACAGATGCTACTGATGAGAAATAATCACAAGAAACAGAGCAAACAAAAGAAAGATCATAAAATACATTAACTTTTACTAGCCATGCTGCTGTGCATTAGCATTTTTAATAATGACCTCATTACCATTTCGTTCAACAAGCAAACAAAACATGTTTATTTGATAATTTATTTATTCTAAAATAACACAACCTTTTTATGTGTCCTTGTTATGAGCTCACTAACGTTAAAGGCACCGCTACAATCAGTTAAGTAATTATCATAGGATAAAAGCTTTTACCATGAAAAAGTTTTGTTTGAAAAAGCATGAACTACGATTCTCATTGATAGCTTTCACCAAGTGCAGGATTCAGTACATTGTAGCACAAAGGCCTAGATTATCTCCCTCTGTTAAAGGCTTAAAATTCTACAACCAGACCATGCCAGTTACCAGTATCAGATTATGATAACAAGATCATGTTCAGTTATAAAAACAAGTGTCTAAACTTTTCTCATGTCACTTTCTATCTAAGTCCCATTGCCAGTTGTGAAAGGACCCATCTGAATGTGTGTAGAAGCTCATTTTAAAGCTAGCTCTTTGAACTGGATTCATGGGGTATTTGCATAAGAAGATTTGGGTAAAAAGAATGGGCTGGTGCTGCATCTGCCCATTAATATGCCTGCTAATTCAGCACATTGTAAGCCTATTGATGTATCACAAAAGGCTCAAATTCAAGGACAGTTATCCTATTGCCATTGTTAGGGTTTGAATTCAAGTAATATGTTCACTATAGGAATACAGTTGTTACAATTAGATATTTTTCTATAATGGTATAAAGAACCGACGACAATCAGAATTACAATAACGCTGATAAAACTTTAGAATTCATGAATTCTATTATTTTAAAAGATGCAGGTGCTGATTAATTTTGCTTTGCATAATACTTGGATCTTGAGTGCTGTAATATTTAAAGAGCAGCAGCAAATTGTGGCAATATAACCTATCAAAGCTGGCAGTCTCCCTTTAGTGCCAATGCACATTTATCTTGTTTATGAGAGTTTTAATAAAAAATTAAAATACTAAACTAAGTTTCAACAGAACAGAAGAGATCTACATCATGAACACAAGGAACGGGTATTTTAATCCTGCTTATGAAAAATGCAAAAGCATCGCTTGTGCTATCAGGGGATATCCAATATGGAACATTTTTATGGTGAATATGAATTGTTTGAAAACACTGTATACTCACAAATGGAAAAAAGAGCAGAATCAGTGATTCATGCAGGAAGCACAGAGCAGCCAATGCACCAGCTCCACAGTGGATTCAGAGCAGACACTGAGGCACACAGGGAAATAAAAAGCTGCTAACTGAAGTGCTGTAAAGAAATTTTAAAGCGCACAACACAAAGGAAATGCTAAAGAACAGGCTAAAAGGAAACAAATGCAGAAAACAGCAAATTAAGTGTAGTTAAACTTAGCGGTTCAAGCTCCCAAGTTTGTGTGTGTTTGAGACCACAGTGCGTGGCCCATAGGGGGGAAAAAAGAGGAATAAATGTGTGCGGTGGTCACAGGGATTTTCTGGGATGGGCTGTGCCGATCTCCACTGCCCTTCTCCAGGAGAACCCTGGCTCCCCACTGGAGACCCGCGGCCCCCGCGCTCCCACACTGGCGCATTGTCCGGCCGCTGGGCGCGGGGGCACGGCTGCATTTTTCTCACTCCACGTCCCTCAGAGAAGACATCAAAGACCGGAGAGATGTGCTCTTTGTGTTGTTTGGTCTCTGACTCTCAACATGTGGTTTCGCAGGCCCAAACATCGGCACCTTTTAACCTATTCTGTTCAGCTTAGGCCTCAGCTCCATTTGAGCATTAGGGAAACTATAGTAACCGATAATCTGCCTGTTCCTGAATAGAAACTATGTACCTTGTCACACAAGAGCCCGAGGATCACCATTCGGGACAAGTTCCTTTACA